AGGGGGCTGAGTTTGTATTTGAAACCTAAAATATCTCCCAAGACTCTAGTAGAGTATTCAGTAGCCATAGTCTCAAAACTTCATCATCAAAATTTATAGTCATTCATGAAAATTGATCTAGGATCCCTTAAAACTCATTTAATTGATCTGAAATGGAAGAATTCTCCCTGTACCTCAAATTCATCAAATACAATTTATTATTGCCTGATTTAGAAGCATGGAAAGACTAAATCTTATCCCAAAAAGTTCTAGTATGTATCTCGTTAGCTATGTGATTATAAACATTGTCTTCTATATATTGGTGAATAAAATTGCACATTTGTTGGTGCTCAAAGTCTCATTCTTCATCAGACATAGAATCCGACTTTTATTTATCGAAGATAGGAAGATGCAATTTCTTCACATACAACAAATCTTTCATCTTACATTTCCACAAATAATAATTTGTATCATTTAAAGCAACTATATATCTTTGTATTTGTCTCCATCATTCAGACAAGTAAATAAATATAGAAAAAAAAAAAAAACAAGAGCTCTGATGTCATTCTGATAACAAAAAATAACACAACAATCTAAAATACCAAATTATGCAGTGGAAATAATTTTCTTAAACTTGCAAGAATATGTGAGGAGCAACAACAACATATGATGACAAAAATAATTACAACAAAGAACACTAATATTTTTAGCGTAGGAAAACCTCCTTGAGAAATAAAAACCCACGGACACAAGCCAATCAATCAAACTCCACTAAGATCAAAGTGTGAGTACAAGAGAATCAAATCAAAATGCACAAATAAGTGTCTGCAAATCAGCCAATATATCAAAGCAACAGTGTTCTCAAATTTGAAGAACAAAGAAAAGAAACCTAAAAATCAGCCACAGTGCAAGACCGATATTTTCAATCACAAACCTTCAATTGACGATCCCAACGGTCAAACTAAAGACCTTATGCCCGTGAACATTCTGTCAAAATTTCAATCTGATCCAACAATGAACTAAGCGACAATAGTAATTTTACATAAGTGACTTGGTAAATAAGCGAAACTGTTTCTTTTGTTTTTCTCGGCTACGAGATGTACCTCCCTGTTCTGACCTAACAGACTCCTCTCCATTTAGATTAAATGAGAAAAAACGGACTTGATTAATTTGAACATTTTAGACACGTAGTTGGGAGCCTAATCCAACAAACTATAACTCATAAGGAAGCCTCTTCACACTATTATTATTATTATTATTATTATTATTATTATTATTATTATTATTATTATTATTATTATTATTATTATTATTATTATTATTATTATACAAAATTCCTATTCATTTGTGGTAATCGACTTCATTCGGTTATGAACCTTTGTCGCCTAACAAGCTACAACCACATCATACATCCGATTTCAAATCGACACCGATTTCAAATCGACACGAAGGAGATGTTCAAATGATATGAGAGATAAAATTAAATTTTTATTTATTTTTGTTTAAATTTATTTATTATTATTCAAGTGAATAATAAAAAATTAGATTATAATTATTGTGCTAGTTCATTTTTCATATATATATATATATATATATATATATATATATATATATATTACACATTATATATTTGTAGATAATTTTTTAGTCTAGTTTGATATTGTGCAGGTTCATCTTAAGATCATATGATGACTAAATAAAGGTTGAAAACTCTACAACGACAAATGACCATTTTAAGGTCAGAAACTTTATAGCGATGAACGACCATTTTAAGGTCGAAAACTCTATAATGATGAACAACCATCTTAAGGTCGGTAACTCTACAGCGATAGATGACCATCTTAAGGTTGCAAACTCTACAACAACAAACAATCATTCTAAGGTTGGAAACTCTAAGCGATGAACGACCATCTTAAGGTCGGTAACTCTACAACGACAAATGACTATCTTAAGGTTAAAAACTTTATAGCGACAAACGACCATTTTAAGGTCGAAAACTCTACAGTAACAAATGATCATTTTAAGGTCGAAAGTTCTATAATGATAAATGACCATTTTAAGGTTGAAAACTCTACAACGATAAATGACCATTATAAGATCGAAAATTTTACAGTGATAAACGATCATTATAAGGTCAGAAATTCTACAATAACAAATGATCATTATAAGGTCGAAAACTCTACAACAACAAATGATCATTAAAAGGTTAAAAATTCTACAACCACAAATGACCATTATAAGGTCAAAAATTTTAAAAGCAACAAACGACCGTTATATGGTCAGAAACTTTACAGCAACGCATAACCATTTTTTGATGTCAGAAATTTGCGATACACAATCATAAGTTTATGAAACATAATTTTAGGGGTAAAAGAAAGGAAGGAGAGGATAATATAATTACAAATTGACCCAATGAAGTCAGTTTACATATTGAACCTATGAGGTCAGTTTACAAATTGTTCCTATGAGGTCAGTTTACAAATTGAGTCTGTGAGGTTGTTTTACAAGTTGACCATTTGAGGTCGTTTTACAAGTTGACCATATGAGGTCGGACCCAGTGAGATCAGTCTACAAGTTGACCCTTTGAGGTCGGTCTACAAGTTGACCTTGTGAGGTTGGTTCTAAGAGGTTTGTTTACAAGTCGGCCTTATGAAGTCGATCTACAAGTCGACCTTAAGAGGTCATAATATTCTACAATGACCCATAAGAGGTCGAATTATTTTACAACTATCCATAAGAGGTCGGATTATTTTACAACTATCCATAAGAGGTTATTTGTATGATAATCGAGTTACTTGTATAATTAAATTATTGACGGGTAAACATAAGCTTTCTCAAAATTGACAGATAAACATAAACTTTCTCAAAAGTCTTGACATTTAACACTTGAAGTTGGGGGACTTAGTAGTGTCCCGAATAACTCACTCTCCGATCATATGATATTCAGTCGATCATATCTCACCCCAAATATTATGAGGTCGGACTCTGTCATGTCAGTATACAAATTGAGAATAAGATAAGACACATCAAACAAATATGTAATTGAATGACCTATGTAATTAGACTAATGATGATATCTTACAACAATTAGATACATAACCTACCTAATAAATCGAACATATAAAGATTCGTTACTTATAAGTAAATATAAAATGTAAATATATATATATTTATCTAAATAAACACTTTAGAAGATTTCAGTCCAATATTAAGTATAAATACAATATTATGATTAGGATTATAGAGGAAAGATAAGTAATAATATTTTATAATAACAAATATATATTTTTTATTTTTTATATTATTATAATAATAAATAGTTAAAAAAATTATATTAAAAAATATATAAAAATAACAAATAAATTTATTATACTTTCGTCCAAATAACTCCAATTTTTTCAATCTTCCTCTCCTTTCTCAGTCTTTAAAATCCGAGTTGATAAATGACGGTGGCTTCTATAAGATATTAGACGTGTGTGGTACATGAATGGACACCTGGTACAGTACAGTGCATTGTTGTGCCATGTAGCAGTTGACCTTTTATGCCTACTTGTTGTACATGTTGGAACAAATACCACGGTTTCAATCACAACTTATGTAATGCAACAAATATTGTCTTCAGAGTAATGGTATATGATCTGAAACGTTTTCAAAAATTAAATATTAGAATAATTCTTATTTGAAATATATAATTTCTGACTATTTGCTTATTCAACAATTTATCACTCAAAATATTAAAATTTATCTTACATAAATTATTAAAGTAGAACTCTATAGTTTAACTAGTTTCATGTCTCTTGGGTGATAAAAAAACTTAGTTATCAAATGCTAGTTCACATTATGTATATTTAAAATAATAATAATAATAATTTTCACATGAATATTTTTATTAAAACAAATGTGATAGGAAATAGCTTACAAGTAACAAATCAATATCTTAATTTTTACGAGGTTATTGTGAACTAATTAAAATATATTATGAATATATCTTTTAAAATATTTGTTATGAAAAGTTAACAATTCCACTATAGTTAAAATTTAAAAATTATGGGTGATTTTTTAAATTTGTAAGAGAATATCCTTTCTCTATATGTATATATTTGTCTAGTAAAATCTTATCATATTTGTAACATTGACTATAGTTTTTTTATTATCTAATGTTATTAATATATGTTACTACTAATTGGTATGAGAAAATATTACTTATTGCACATATGGTAAGAATGGACAATATTATTTTTAGAAATTAGAAATATATTATATATTTTTTTTAATTTAGAATAACATTGATTGTTTATATAGTTTGGTTGTAGGTATTAGTAATAGATTAAATTTATCAATTTTGGTAGTTTAAAACTACTTGATCTTTCCTTTTTATTGTTATTATTTTAAATTTTTAATGAAATTCTGGTACTACTTTTGTGCCTATATTGTATTAATGTGTGTTTTTTTTTATGATAAAAAAATAACTTCAACTAAGGTAGAATATTTTACTTATTCCATTGGTTGTTATTGATATGGAAAATAACATTTTATATTCAACGGTGCAAACTGTCATCTCCTTGGTTGACTGAATTTATACCACATTTGTTCATAAACTAAAATAATTTCAAAACTTGATGTGGAATAGACTTGGTCATTTGTTATGACTAGGAAAAATTTGGAGAAAGTCGAAGGACATCAATGTCCATGTTTCTCTCCCTGAAATAAGGGAAAGATGGATTGACTTGTCTCTCATTTTTGTTTTGTCGATTTAACATGTTATATTTAAGATTTTTCAAATAAAAATAAAACATTTTAAATAATTAATATTTTATTTAAATATTTTAATAAGCACAAGCACGGAGACCAACATGATTTCATGTTTATCACAAAAAGTAGTAGTAGACAAAATAGCAAAGTGAAGCGGCAGCCAGTTTTGAAAACAAGTAACAAAAGGTCAATTACTCTCATCAAACGTCATCTATAAATATCTTCATCATTCTGGTGCCACACATCATTCACAGTTTCTCTTTACAAAAATGTGTAGCATGAAAGTGTCTTCTTTTATGCTATGCTTATCGCTAGCATTCCTGCTTGGTGCCACAGCAGAACAGTGTGGTCAACAAGCTGGTGGAGCACTGTGCCCAAATGGGTTATGTTGCAGCAAGTTTGGGTGGTGTGGTAGCACTGATCCCTACTGTGGAGAAGGTTGTCAGAGCCAATGTAAATCTGGCCCCACACCTACACCTACACCTTCAACCCCAACACCAACACCTAGTGGTGGTGATATTACCAGACTCATTAGCTCTTCTCTCTTCGATCAAATGCTTAAATACCGAAATGATGGACGCTGTCCTGGAAATGGATTCTACAAATATGATGCTTTCATTGCTGCTTCTCGCTCTTTCCCTGCCTTTGGCACAACTGGTGATGACAACACTCGCAAGAAGGAAATTGCTGCTTTTTTGGCTCAAACTTCTCATGAAACCACAGGTTGGAACATAATTTTTTATGATGATTATAATAGTACGTAGTAAGGCAAATCCAGTATGAATTTACTGAGCACATGAATGGAATGGTTTGGTTTGTGTAGGAGGGTGGGCAAGTGCACCAGATGGTCCATACGCGTGGGGATATTGCTTCATCAATGAACGAAACCAGGAAGTTTATTGTGATGGTGGGAATTGGCCATGTGCTTCTGGTAAAAAATATTATGGACGGGGACCAATCCAACTCACACAGTAAGTATAGTCAAACACACTATCATTTCATCCCTAAACTCTCAAAACTAAAATCAAAACATTATCATTCTTGATATATAAAAACATTTGCATGGTGAATATGGACTAATTAATGGAATGCATGTTGACCCTTTTCAGCAACTACAACTATGGACAAGCTGGTCAAGCACTTAAGCTAGATTTGATAAACAATCCGGACCTAGTGGCCACAGATGCAACAGTGTCTTTCAAAACAGCCATATGGTTTTGGATGACTGCACAAGGAAGCAAGCCATCAAGCCATGATGTGATCACTGGAAGATGGACACCATCTAGTGCTGACACAGCTGCGGGTCGGGTTCCTGGGTACGGTGTGATCACCAATATAATCAATGGCGGACTTGAATGCGGGCACGGGCAGGATAGTCGGGTCGAAGATCGGATCGGGTTCTACCGAAGGTACTGTCAAATGATGGGAATAAACCCTGGTGGCAACTTGGACTGTAACAATCAAAGGCCGTTTGCCTAATCTAATGACTCATGTATGTTTGAGAATATGTGGAGTAGAAAATAATGGACTTACAATGATCCTTCATGTAAGGGGTTTACCTTGATTGAATAAAAATGTTCAACATTTTACTATATATTTTATGACAAAAAGTTACTGATGAATACCATGCCATTAATTAGGTTTTTGGCTAACATCACCTTCACCTTTAAAATATGAAAATTATACATTGAACATAACTATAGAGATGTAGTACCTAAAACTTTTAACTAGTTATTCATCATAGCCATCATAGCCCAAACAAAATTCATACTTTCCTTTGAACCTAGGAATTGAAATTCAATTTGATTTGAAGTGCTCTTCATGTTGTACTTTCTATATTAGATGCATGCAAAAGAGAGGAGGATATATATTCTGAACTAAAACTGGGAAATACAGTAGATTTGTTCACAATTCCTAGTCCTGCAATGTCCTCACATAATGGTGGATTACAACTTCCATTGACTAGCCAAGTCAAGGAAATATCATAATGGGACGAAGATAAGATCTATAATATGAATGGAACCTAATATAGTCTTCGTCTTTCAAGCATTCCCTTCACGCTGGTGTTCTTTTGGAGTTTCGATATTTTAACATCACAGACAAAAACATTCATTCAACAACTTATTTTATATTTTTATATTATTATTATTTATCTATCTTATTTTATTCTCCTTCCATCAATAAAAAAAATATTTTAAAGTTGTCAATAAAATGCTTATAAAAATGGATTGTCAAACAATATTTTCCCATTCTTTTGGTAATATTCTTAAGTCCTAAAAAATACTGTATTATTTATAAATTATCATATTCCTTAAATGTTTAATGTATACTAATTTTCAGAAATAATTTTTTAGTTTTAAAAAAGTAAAAAGAAATAATGTTTGATAATTGTTTGTGAAAATATTTTTTTAAAATAGTTTCTATTTTTTTATTTTAAGTTTAAAATAAAATTTGATAAAATTCGGTATTTTTCTTATATTAAACATTTTATTTTAAAAAATAATTTTTTAAATTAATTATTGGTGATGAAGGTGAGTGAAACACACGTTTCAATTTATAATGATGAAGGTGAGTGGAACACACGGTCCAAAGTAAGAGAGTGGAAAAAGAAGACAACCTAGTAAAATATATAATACAAATTATGATTTATTGGGCTACCGTATTGGCCCATTAAGAGTAAAACTCGTTCTGCTCTTAAGTGAAAATCTAAAACAACTCGGAACGTTTATAAGAGGTATGATAATGTTTAAACTTCATTAAACAAATAGAAAAAGTGCTGGATTCAATTGATAATGATCATACTTATACTTTATAACTATGTGAAATCATATTTTGTTGTGGGCATAAGAATCTGGTAAATATTATTTCAGTTTTGGAGACATAATATGAATCGATCTATCTCACCATAATATTTTACAAAAATAGTTTATAAAGAACAATAAAGTCTCAGAAATATTTTTGAAAATGAAGATAAAGAACTTGTAATAGTGCAATTACGATTTTGAGTCTCAGTGATTGGTATTACAAAAGCTACCTTGGTGGAAGTGAGAGTGGTATATATCTTATGTACTTATCAAACGCAACGTAACTAACCATTTAAAAGGTACTTAGGTAATTAAAAATACTATTATTTTACATTTTTAATACTTGTTACTTACTTTTTAAAAATGGTATCGGACCGATTCATTCAACGGAAACTTCAAATTGATTTATTATTTTTGAATAATTAAATTAAGATGAAACTGAACAAATCAAAATAAAATTGATAAAAATGACAAAATCGACTGAAATTTTTTGGATTCAACCGATTTAAAAAAAATTAAGATAAGATTTTCAATATATTTTTTAGAAAAAATATAATATATTTTAATTTATTTATTTTATTTCATATTAATTATATTAATTTTAAATAATTATTAATTTATTATATTTTTATCTTATTTTAACAAATTATATATATATATATATATATATATATATATATATATATATATATATATATATATATATAACACTTAATAAACGAAGATATTCACTTGTACTCGCTACTTATAAAATTATATAATTACTCTTATATAGATAATTAAATTAATTTTTTTAATTTAACTTTTTTATCAATAAAGTAATTTTATTGAATTTATTTTTTCTTTTAGACTCTTTAAAATTGAAGGTGATATGCCATGGTGTTAAAATGAAAAATATTGATTAAAAACTTTTCAATTTTGTGTTTACTTGATGTAGGTTTTTTCCTTATGTTACTTAAATTAAAAAATATTTTGTACTAAATTTACATTTCGAATTAAATTTATGTTTTAAATCTACGTTTAAAAAAAAAAAAAAAACAGCATACAGATGTCAAAACTCGTATACATGCAAGTTCCTCTCTTTTAATCAACTTATAGTTTATATGTTCAATTTTTTATGTATTAAATAAATTATAATAAATTTATATATTAAAAAGTATTATTTATTGTAAAATTTTGTGATATATGAAGCAAACATCTCTCTTTTACATGCTGAAATACTAATTATATCAAATTGAATAATATATATATATATTACATGAACAAAATTTTAAAATTATGGTACTTTGAGTTAATCCTAATAATTTAAATTTAATTTTAAATTTCATGTGAATAAAGATAACATGTATGATTTTAATAATGTTCTCAATAATCTGAAAAATCTTAACTTCTTAATATGTTCATATTAATATAATAAAATACTTAATTTTAATAACAAAGTTGCTATTTTTATTTATTCATTTGTACATTTATTTGCTTGGGAGAGAACTAGGATGTTTTTTTTCTTAGGTATAAGCCCATTGATAAAATTACAGTTTTTTTTTTTTTTTTTGCTTTAACAATTTTAAGATTTTATTTTATATAATTATCATAAATATGCATTTTCAGTTGCTTACAAAAAAATACAGTAATCCCATGCGAACAGCAAAGGCAAACTAGTTTTCATAGTGTCATATATCTGAAGCTCATAAAATAGTATAATTTTATTTGCATTATTACTTTGGAAAATATCCGTGGACATACACATATACAGTGACGTTATAAATTTTTAAATTACATTTTTTAATAAAAGTTTTGCGTTGAATATGCGAACGCGTCATTCCTACAATCCCCACCAACTTCACTTTCAATAATCTGGTATATCATACAATTCATGCCTTCTGCTATGCTTTTGCCATTAATGTTAATTTCTTCAACTAACTTTTTAAGTGACATCCCAGTTCACATTTACAATAGTTCTTCTGGTAAAAGGGTAGAAAATGTCAAAGAAAAACAACCACAATGTTCAATTACATATTTAACAACTCTATTTGTACATTTGGGAAATTTCAGAAACTCTGCTATATGCACACCACAAACACAAGGCCTAATTGAGTGAGTTCTTTACTACATATATGCTTGTTATACTCTTACACCTTAAGGACCAAATATATTCAGAAAACACACTCTAGTATTAATCAGGCGCTTAAACAAGGATTCCAATCCATTTTCAATTTCTTCAATGGCAACCACCAGAGCTTCTAACCTTCCATGTGCAGATTGAGTCTTCTCAGCCTCAGCATCTTTGCTCAGATTGTCCACAATCAAGCTGTTAAAGGCAAAGTCCACCTTTTCCAATTCATTTATATTTTCCTGTTGATTGTTGTAAGTAAACACCCCCTTCTGCATCAATCTTGAGACAAAGGCCCACTTATTAGGCTTTAGTTTCAAGATTGGTGAAGAAAAGAACACAACAAGGGACTGAAAGATGGAGCTGGTGATCCAACTAGCTTCTCTTAGCACTCTTACCACTGCGGACAGGTGGTCATTAAGATCCCCTGGAAGAGAAGCCCCAAATGACTCTTGATCCATCTGCTTCAAAACAAGCAGAGATTTTGTGCACTCCTTCCTGGTGCTCCTTCTGAGCCTCCAATATGTAGAAAGATGGCTCTCCATGTCAAAATCACCAACCCTTCTCCTTCTAATTGCAGACTGAAGTTCCTCAACTCTTGCTTTCATTAACAGAATGGCATCCCTTGTTATGCCCAATAGGTCCAAGAATCCTACTGGGCAATCTAGCATCTCATTCACCCATTTCTCATTTTGGTGTTTCCCTAATGCTTGTTGGGTCAACGGCAACCTCAAAAGATCTTCAATGCATTTGTACAATTCTGAAAGGCCAGATAGACCACAGCAAATGGTTTCCACCTTTGATGTAGATGATGATGCCCACAGTGATTTAAGCTTGCTCAGTTCCTCTTCAATTCTAGCTGTACTTGGATGTGATCTTGTTGGCAAACTAATTGATCTAACACCATACTTGCTAGAATGCTTTGGGGAAAATGTAGCTATACTTGCCCTTTTCATCTTAAAGGCTGCCTAAAATGAAAATAGACTCAATGGTATAATACACCCCTGTTGAAACCTCTAGAGATATTAGAAGGAAGTGAGAGAGGTCCACAAGTTTCTTATAGACCCCATGGAGTGTTTGTTTTTTTCTGTGACGTAGTTATGATGTCACATCTTCATCATGAAGCAAACTAGCCATCCATATTTTAAATGAAACACCTTTATAATTATATCACATGGGCTAGGCACTCCAACCTGCTTGGGGAGTAATTTTTTCTGCAATGGTTTTTTTATGAATTATAGCAGAAGTGATCACAAATTGTATCTGCTAAATAAGTTTTTACTGACAGCCATAAATGTTCTAAGTCAATAATTTTGAGAGTTTTAAATCAACTTCTTTTATTAACAAAGAAACAAACACCACCACATACATTTATTCACAAAAACACATGGGATATACATATGTTTCTCATAATGTTTTGGTGTGTCTTATGTGAAGAAGGGATAAAAAGGACCAAACCCTGTGCTTCAGACTCTATCTTCAATGAATCCAAGCAAAAGGCACCGCCAATGGTACGGTACGTATAATTTTATCATGTGTTATGAAGGTCGGTTACATTTAAAGTTTGTCTTCCAAAGTTCCTTGCACCTCAACACTCTCAACACTTTTTTTTTTCTCTCTCTCTCTCTCCTTTTTCATATATAGACGGTGCGTACTATAAAATGAGAAAAAAAAAAAAAAAAAAGAAGACAATTTTCTGCGGCAAGAAATGTATCTTGTTACCACAATGTTCCTTCTACGGATTACAACCTGCCAAAGTTTGAATTGGGTGTAGTACTTTAAGATTCTCTATATTATTCTTTTGTATTATTGTTCTTATGTGTAAGGATTAGTCCCTTTCAAAAGATCATGCACAATAGATCTTTCGTGTGAATGAATTGAATCAATTAGTAAAAAAAGTTTTATTCTATACAATGCATTCCCCTTACAAATTATGAGGGTAACACGTAGCTACAAGTTCTAATGCCGGCCAAAACCCTAATATTCTATTTTACATGATTTTGGAATATTCATTGCTGTTGAATGGGATGTGACAAGAAGATTTCCAAACGCGCACGTATTTGATAAACTAATATCATGTTTATATTATAGTTTGTCGATTGTGATTTTGTTTGACTCATAATAGAATATTTTCACTCAGATTCCAAGTCACATTAAAACATATATGATGTCTAAATCATAAATTTGATAAATTAACTCGTGGGTGAACTTGAATTCACTCACACATCTTTGGAGTATCTAGTGTATAATCTAAGTATACTAAGAGTTGATGGAAAATTAGGGCATGTTTTACTATCATGGGTCAAAATAAAGAAATCACACTTTTTTTTTTATTTGCTGTAGAGATGAGAATTTGTTTTAATTTAATAGCAGACCAGATTCTTTTGTAGCTGAACTATACAACTTTTGACTTTGGACGATCACTTTTTCAATGGTTTTAGTTACGCTTTGTGGGACATATTTGTTACATCAAGCATTATTTTTAATTCAACGACATGCCTTATATTACTTCAAAAAAGAAGGAAAAATGAAATAAAAAAAATAAAAGGCGTGCCTTGAACCACATTACGTCATTTCAAGATAACAACAAACAGAGGAATGCATTCTCTTGTTTAAGCAAATGTTTTCTATTTTTACTTTTAAATACAAATATGTGACTTTGTTTCTATTTTAATTACAAATGTGTTACATTATTTTAAATGTTTTCGTAAAAAATATGAAAACAACAAAATTTCATTTTCATGATTTGTTATACAAATTTTTGGAAGAAAAAAATTTATACTATAAGAAGATAATAATGAAATTAAAATTTGGATATTAATATTATGCTACAAAACGCAGGCTTAGGGTTTGAAAGCTTTAGCACGGTAGTTTAATGTTTGCTTGCGAGAAAGAAAAGTACAAATTTGAAGAAAGTTCAACACGGTAGTTTATAGTTAGTTGAGTGAGTTAAGTATAATAAAAAAAGTTTAATTATTTGTTCTGAATATGAAAAAGATTTTATTAATAGTAAAAACACTGTCGAAATAAAATAAAAAAATAAATTATTTATTTTATAAAATTAATTTAAAGAGATAAATATTGTTAATAATCTATTTATTAATAATTTAGTTTAAATATTAATTTTATTATTATTTGAGACATTAAGTTTATAAAATAAAATTATAATATTTTCTTTTACCTGTTTAAGAAAAAATATAAAAATATGTAATAAGATTTAAATTTTTCATTTAATTTTAATTTTAATTTGAAAAAGATAACTATTGTTCATCATATTGTTTTGATTCCCACTCAAAAAGTATTATTGAGGTTAGTGTATATGATACGTATTATTTTCCTTACATCTTACTAGGCTTTGCAAATTTGGTGAGTTTTAATTCGATTAATTTTTTTTTCTTTGAGTAATTTAGAGAAATATTATTAAGCAGTTTTTCCTTTTATTTTTTTCTTTCTTTAAAACCTAAATACCTTAAAGAGCAAAATGATGAATAGAAAAGATATATTTGTACTTTATGTTTGATTTTAGTTTGAAAGAGAGTATAATTGTTGTACACATGGGTTTTAAAAGTTGCATTGGTAAAATTTTGATTTTAAGTTATATGAAAGATCTGACACGTGAAATTGAAGATCTTTCAATTAAAAGTAATGATTGTAGTTTAGAGAATGTGCTTCTGCTTTTTGAATTTATGCTTTTCTTTGTTTTTAAGATGGTGAAATTCATTTTTACTTTACGCATTTTGATCTTTGATGGGATATTTTGATGTGTTAAGGCAAAAGTTATATATTCTTATAACTTACTGATAAATTACTGAACAGTCGGAATAATATGTTCTCATGTTCTTAGGATCTAAAGTTTTAAAGCTAGAAATAATTTAGGGTTTTACTTGAAAATGATTCTCTACAAATAAAAATTTAGATTTCAAATTGATGATTTAATGGAAATTTGAAGTTTTAAAGTGTTGATCTTTCCATTTCTGATCGAATCATCTTCGATTAATTGAAACCAAATTAGTAGTTTCTAAAGCATACATTTTGAGCGACGAGTATAATTCAAGCGAAAAATATCAGTTTAAATAAAACAATATAACTCAATATATAAACATATAAACCCAGTTTAGAAGTACTTTCAATAATTCATGATTCATTCTCTATTATAAAAATATGTCCAGAATAAATAAAAATAAGACTATCATTATTGTAAAACAAATTTGAAGTTGATAAATGTGTAAGTAGCATTTTCAAAATACAACAACCTAGTGATTAATCCGCTAAGTTTAAAAGTTTATATATCCCTTCCTTTCGTCACGGAGTTGATTGTGCCAAATAACTTTTTCTTGGGTTATTCTTTTGTTTAACCATGAGTACGCTAATTTGACAAAATATCAACCTTTATCAATGCATGTTGTGGACCATGTGCTTGAGTACGTTTTATTTTTCGTGACTGGTTGATTTGTGGGAAGGGACCGTTTGCTTCACAAGCGGCATAAAACCTTAAAGAATGTTAAATCATGCACTCTATCTTTGACCTAGTTTAGAGATTAGTCCCTTTTTCAAAACAGAATTACCCTTTCAACTTTCATTTGGATATACACTATGACAGATACACAAGACCCAGCAGATGTGTTTCAATACACTGGAAAGGTCACAAGCAATTGCCAATCACAAACAACCCATGCTTACATGTTCTTTAGTGGAAAACACTGTTTTCGTGTTAACATCATACAAGTTCAACTCGATATGAATCATATTTTGGAGTGGTGCTAAAGCTCTCTTCTGAAAATTGTTGTCCCTAGAATAGTATGATCAAAGAATGGCAGCTTATATAAATAATTCATGTAAATCTTTGTTAATGTTAAAATGATAGAGTTTGGGATTTGCTACTGGTTTCTAAACTCAAACTTCGACCAAAAAAAGATAAGTAAATTTTATACAATAGTAGTGGGGTGAAAATAAAAGGTTTCATAAACTAGCAGATATCTCATTCATTCTGTATAAGAAGTTCTATAGTGCTTATGTTCAAAGCTTCCCTTTGGGACCTTGCAATTACTAACTGTCCCTTGTGAATAAAATATGAAGACTGCTTATATTTTAAGAAAAATGCTGTGGGTGGAGGAATCTGATTAATTATTTAAAGATGAACACAAAGAAGATAAATAGAAGGAAGAGAATATGTCAAATGCAAACATATGTTGTTCTGAGAAAATATGATTACTGTTGAATTGTGTACATGTATGTACAAATCATTGGAGGTTAGAAACTCATTCCTTTGCATACCCTTAAAATTTGTATGCATTGCAGGATTTGTAGAAAATTGCTAATGGAAGTACTCTACTGGGAGATTATATTCAAAAGGGAAGCTCTGGTTTTAATCAAGCGCCTAAAAACACTCTCTAAGCCATTCTCTATACTTCCAATGGCATTCTCCAAAACCTCCAATCTTTCATGCGCCACACGAATCTTCTCATCATGAGTGCCTTCGTTTAGAAGAGTGTTCAAAGCTATTTCCACACAATGCAACTCATTGACATTCCCAGAATTGTCCTCACATGGTTTTACCCCCTTGTGCATCAATTTGGCCACCAGCAACCATTTGGTTGCCTTAGAAGTGGATGATGACACGGTCAAGAATAACAAAATAGATTGGAATACTGTCAAGTTGATCACAATGACTTCCCTGAGCACTCTAGTCACAGAAGCAAGGTGGTGATCAAGATCCAAAAGTGGGGACACCCCAAATTTGCCATCCATCTGCTTTAACGATGTGATAAACTTACTGGCATTCTTCTTCATCTTTTTAGCGAACAATTTGTACTCGGCCACACTTGTTTCAACACTTGAATCTCCTTTTCTTCTTCGAAGGGCAGAGTGAAGGGCTTGGACATTTTCCTTAATTTGCAACATGGTGTCCCTCGTTACGCCACACATGTCCAAAATTCTCATAGAGCCATCCAACACCTCTTCCACACATTTGTCACCTTTGTGGAGAGAAATCACTTGTTGGGTGGATGGCAGGTTGAGAAGACCATCCAAGGCAAGGTAGAGATCTTGAAGCAAGGATAGGGCAGTGTGAATGGACTCTGATGAGGATACGAATGTTCCTTCCCAAGTCTTTAGCTTGCTCAGCTCCTCCTCCACTCTAACGGTGGTAGGATGAGATCTAGAGGGCAAGCTAATTGAGCGAACATGGTACTTATTTGCCATGGTTGCTCTTCTAATTTGTTGTTTTTGTCTCTTCAATAGAAGCTTAAGTTTGGGATGCTCTTACCAAGTCCTTGACTCTCTTTATATAGGGGCTATCCCAATTATTCGTAGAGGTAGAAACAACCAGAAAAAAGGGCAGCAAAAAATCACCTTATTTAACGTGTGGAGCATGTGGTACACGATGGGTTTCCCTTAGATTTCGGTTAACTAGTCCCATCTCTACCCGACATTGTTCTCTATAATATATGATAATAATGTGATATTATATGTAGGGAAATGGGTTTGAGTCTTCAGTTGTATACCTGGCTTCTTCTCCGTGTATTGGTAAGCAGAAATCTTTATTAGTCATCACCAAGTTTGCCTCCTCTCTTGCCACATAAACTCGTAGATTTCAAATATAAAATTGGGTCACTGCATGGGTTGTCTTGATACGAAGGAGCTTGAGCTGCAAAAGCAGATTATTAAAGAAAGAAAAGTCACGGTGGAGTTTTGAGATCCGCAATAATTTGATTTGAGTTTTAGATAACCTTTTTAAAACTCCAAGAACAAAGGCCCTCTGAGAGCATACTTAGTGTGTAATAAATAATGTGTGCACGAGTGGCATGTATTCCTTGTACACGTCCACTTTGGTTTTAACCACGCTTTGCTTAAGATTGCGTTTACGAAGAAAAAGTTGTCAAATTTTCCCCCTCGATTTTGTTGAGGTACGTGAAGAAGGAGGCGTACCTTGCGGATAGGATTGACGCGTGTTGACATAATTGTGGGTATCTTACGAAAAATATATAGATGTCCCGGTAGGTCTTTCCCATGTGCCATTGCTTATTTCTGTATGGTCCAAAACTATAATCATGTGCCTTGTTTATTATTCCTATAACCTAAAATTTGAAAAACTCAAAATCCAAACCCAGGTATTAGTTGGGTCCGAGCAATATGATAAATTTAGTAAAATAATTCATTCGAATAAAACCAATTTGATAGGTTAATATTAATTCATTTTGTGTCTAAATTAAACAATTTCATAATCATTTTTATGCCTTGATACCAAAGTTTTAATTCTCCACCTACATTTTCTTAATCAAGCTACTTGGCATCCTTTCAACCTATGAAGATTTTATCGGCTTGACCTATAAAATAAAATCAAAATTTTTTAATCTAGGCTGACACTATCTTAGATTAACATGTTAATGGATCAATTTTTATGGACATCATCATACAAATAGTTTTTTTCGTCTATATTATCTTACAGAGATCGCATAACCTATCGTGTAGTCTAAACTCCTATAATTTTACTGTAGTTTCTTGTTTTTTTTTTTTTTTTTTTCTAGTGACGTTCTTCTTTTGATATATATAATTTATTATTATTATTATTATTATTATTATTATTATTATTATTATTATACAATATCAATATGTTTCCATATAGCTATGGTTTTGGTCTCGTTTACAAATAATTGATTTTTAGAGGTTTTTGTTGGAAGAGTTTATTACATGTGTAAATGTTTCGTTTAGGTACCTAAAAGCTAATTTCGTGATAAATATTCTTGGATGCTGTCATGGATCTCATGAGGATATATTTCTTCTTAATAAACCTAATTTTTTTGAGTATTAATATTAGATTTTTTTTTAAGTTGAATTTAAAAATAAACCAACAAATATTTTATTTATATAATTTTTTAATTTTGTTTTAAAAAATAATATGACTTATTTATTTAAAGTTAACTCGTAACTTAGTTAGACATAATAAAATGATAAAATATCATAAAATATCCATTTTTTTATATATAAAAAAGTAAACAATTGGTATAATATAAAATTATAAAATATTGAATATTATTTTTTAGTATAGCATAAAATCCAATTTGATCATAATCACACTGAGAGCATGCATATTTACTAGAAATAAATAATTTTGTATATTACTGTAAGATGCAACCGTTAATATTAAATGAAGATTTTGAAGTTAACGTTGTAATTGAAAGGTTTAAAATGTTACAAAATGAAAGTAACTTACTGTTTTAATTTCTAATTTTGATTAATAAGATAAATTGTAATTTTTAACTTTGATCAACAAAACGAGTCGCTGCAGTCATGTAATTTCAGAAATTATATTGTTCATGTATAAAAAATTAAACATATTCTACCGTAAATATTAAATAACACATCATTTACTCTTTCTTTTCTTTTAAATATATATTATAAAACTAATTAAAGTGTTTTTAGTAATTAATTTAAAATCACGATTCAAAACTTTTTATATCTCGCTAAACTCCTTCATACTCCACATAATTAAATGACATGCTTAATAATGCATCTAACAAGTACATCTCAATAACTTTAGAGTCAAATTTTTATTGTTTCAAAAAACTAGCATTATTACCTAACATAACTCTCGCTTTCACATCATAATACTTTGGAAATACATTACATTTAGGGATATGTTGTCTTAAATTTGGCCCATACTTTCGAAATACATTACATTTAAAAATATGTCGTCTTAAATGATTGGTCCCTGAAATTCCTTTACCTTTCTTTACATGTATATAATTTTTTCACAATCCTTATATATACATTTCTCTAGCCTTCAACTAGAAGGACTTTTTCAAAATAATTTCATACTTCAAAAAAGTAATGGTCTTTATTTTTTTAGACACTTCACCCTTTTTGTTCAACATTATCCCTCTTACTATTATTAGACACATCAGAACTATGACTGCTAATAGACGAGTTACCAATTGGATGAACACTCTATTATGAGACAAAGTTTCCATCATTTAAATACTGAGAATAAAAAAGTTAAAATTTAATCAAAATACAAAATAACAAAACGAAAATATGTATAAAAAATACATATAGAGACATATACAAAGACGTAAGAAAAGGTGTTTGAGGTGTGCACATGAGAAGAGGAATGTGAGAAATTATAGCAAGAGTGGGACGTCAACAATACATTTTAACAAAATAATAATTACTTTATAAAATGGACCAATTATAAGTCTTCAAGCTAGTCTGGCTGGCCATACCTAAATAAGTTGGACAAAAATTGATCTGATTCTAATTATATTATAAATTTTTTAGCCTAACCCGACCTATTTTTCTGGTCTTTCGAGTTAATCCATCGGACTAAGTCTATTTTTACACCTTTAATTCTCGACCTCAAAAAAAAGTTATTCTTTTTTCTTCTTTCACCTCTTTCTTATTTATTTTCATAAAAATTATTTTTTCTATGGTTGGATTGATATTTAAATTAGTAAAAGTATTATTTTATGCATCATTAGTTTTACTATTATTAGAGTTAATTTCTATAATAATTAAACACGTCTATTTTGTTAATTATGGTGTATTAAATAATATTGTGAAAGATTTAAAAAATTAGATTAAGATAATAAAACATATTACATGTTTGATGAGATAAAAAAATCCTAAAGTATTTGTGCGCCAAATTTTGTATATGTTTCTGTTGAATGTAAATAGTATGCACAAAAGTTATTTTATAGATTAGAGATATATACAAAAATATAAACTATAATTTAGGTTGTCATTACAATCAACAAGTTATAATTTAAGTTAATCTTTAGGAAATTATTACTATAAAATATTATCAAAATAATAATAATTTATTTTACCTAATAATATCTATCGCACCCCCTAAATCGAAGTGAGAGGTTGAAAAATGCTTAAAATGTTCCAAAAATCATTAAAGAGTATGTGCGAAAAGTCTTTGATGAAAATATCAGCAATTTGATAGCGAGACGGAACATGAATATGGACTTCGCCATGGGTAACTTTTTCACATACAAAGTGTATGTCCATCTCAATGTGTTTTCTGCGTTGATGTTGTACATGATTACATGATAGATAAATGACACTCACATTGTGATGTGGACATAAAAGTTCAAAGCCAAGAGAAGAAAGATGACGATATAATTGAAGGTGACTCTTTTATGGATAGTCAAAGACCCAAGTAACTAAGAAGACTAAGTTGGTTACATGTGTAGTGGGTTTAGAAAGTTAAAATGACGATATAATTGAAGGTGACTCTTTTATGGATAGTCAAAGACCCAAGTAACTAAAGAGACTAAGTTGGTTACATGTGTAGTAGGTTTAGAAAGTTAAAATAAATTTTTTTTTTTTTAGATGAGATTTGAACCCAAGACCATTAATTAGTTTAATATTTGATTAGTTTTAATTCTTTTGGGTTTCTTTTTATTATAAATAAAGTTAAGCCCAATAAAATCCTAAACCCTAATTTTTTGTATTTATGATTGTTGAATTGAGAAAAGAGATAAATAGATGATTTTTGCTTAAGTGAGAATATTTATTTGTTAAGGTTTTTTCTTGCATCTTCGATCTTATCAAGAATTCACCAATTTTTTTGGTGATCACTTTAAGCTTATTAATTAAACTTTATTTATGATGTCTTCCCTTTATCCATGCTTTCTTTATTTTGTTTTCAATTTCTAATTTTCTATTATTAGTTGATTCAAAATCCTAAATATTTTGTGTCAATTCTATTAGAATCTTATCACATTGTCGCAGTACACTAATGTAGTTTTCTTAAATTAGACAATGAAGCTCCAAAAGATGATTTCGAATCTAACAAGATTCAGAAACAACATTAGCTACTTCTCTATATTCAGCCTCAACACTAAAACGAGATAATGTAGGTTATCGTTTGAAAAACACAATACTCAAATGTAAATGTCTAATATCAGGACATTCATCCCAATCTGCATCTGTGTACAAGAAGAGGTTTCCAATATTGGATTTGTACAAATACAAGTCAAAATCAATTGTACCTGAAATGTAAGGTAAAATACACTTGAGAGCATGCAGGTGCTCTTTTCCTTGGGATCATGCATATAAAGACATACTTATTACACCGCATAAGAAACGTCGGACCCTTTTAAAAGTGAGATATTACAATGCTCCAACAAGACTTCTATACTTAGTAGATTCTAGTAGAAAATATCATTACACGCGCCAAGTTTGAGCTTTATGTCAACTGGTGTGGGACAAATTTTGTAATTAGTCATCGATGCTCTTTCAAGAGTTTATTTTGCATACTTGTTTTGTGAAAGAAACATATTAGTTATATGATAGGTAACTCGCAATCTCCAAACGAGATAACCGCAATCTCCAAAAAATAACTAAGTGGATCAAGATCTCTATATACTAAAAAATAATATAAAAAATAAATAAATAATTAAAATTATCATGTTTAATCGAGTTATTAAAATTGATGTTTAATCAAATTTATTAATTATTAACGTACAACAAAATATATCCAATATCAAACTCATATAATATATAAAGAATAATATAATATATAAAGAATAGTCAAAATTATCATGTTTAATCGAATATATTAAAATCGATGTTTAATCAAATTTATTAAAACCGATTATTATAGTAATGTATTACTATGTTATAATCGTTACGTCACTTCTTTAAATCCTTAATTTAAAACCCATATATTTATTTTTCTTTAAATTACTAATTGTTGATGAAAGTTTTTAAGTCGTTTCCTAGTTGATTTCTAGCTCATGTATAATCAAACGGACTATCAGAGCCAGGTTTGGAATGCTCGTAAATTTTAGATTTTGTTTCAAAATTTAATTTAAAATAAATAATGTTTGGAAAAAGGATTAAAATTATTTTAAAATTAATTTCAAAACTATTTTAAATCACTTAAAAAAAATGTTCTTCCACCATTCCACATCTTCCATCCTTCCTTCTGCACCTTTTTCTAATCTTATTTGTCTCCCTTCAATCTTTAGACATAGGAATTTGAGCGTTACTAGTTACCACATTATTTTAACTTTCATACAAAGATCCCACAAATGGATTCACCGTTAGTTTCATCAAACTTCAATATTTGTTAAATTGATCTCCATATATTAGAACATAATTCTTTAATTTAAAATTTAAGTTGATTTTTTCCAATATACCATTTTACGAGAAAGTTACTCAGACATGAGACGTGGTAATATAAATTGTGTACACGTAGAAATCATTCTGGTAAATTTATAATTCCTCAAAAGATCCCTAATATCTGGATGCATTGAAGGATTTGGAGAAAAATTGCTAATCAAAACACTCTATTGGGAGATTATGTTCAGAAGAGAAGCTCTGGTCTTAATCAAGCGCCTAAACACACTCTCTAAACTGTTCTCAATTCTTTCAATGGCATTCTTCAAAGCCTCCAATCTTTCATGTGCTACCTGCATCTTCTCATCATCAGTGCCCTCATTCAGAAGGGTACTCAAAGCTGTTTCAACACACTGCAACTCGTTCACATTCCCGGAGTTGTCTTCCCATGATTTGACCCCCTTGTGCATCAATTTTGCCACAACCAACCATTTGGTTGCCTTTGAATTCGATGAAGACGCGGTCAAGAATGACAAAATAAATTGGAAGACTAACAAGTTGATTATAATGACTTCCCTAAGCACTCTAATCACAGCAGCCAGGTGGTGATCAAGATCCAGAAGTGGGGATACCCCAAATTTGCCATCCATCTGCTTCAATGATGTGATCAACTTATTGGAATTCTTCTTCATCTTCTTGGTGAACAACTTGTACTCGGTCACACTGGTCTCAAAACTCGAGTCTCCTTTTCGATTTCTTCTTCGAAGGGAAGAGTGAAGGGCTTGGACAATTTCCTTAATTTGCTGCATGGTGTCCCTCGTGATGCCACATATATCCAAAATTCTCATAGAACCATCCAAAACCTCGTCCACGCACTTGTCACATTTGTGGAGAGAAATCACTTGTTGGGTGGATGCCATGTTGAGAAGATCATCCAAGGAAAGGTACAAATCTTGAAGCAAGGATAGTCCAGTGTGAATGGACTCTGAGGTGGATGTGGATGTTCCTTCCCAAGTCTTTAGCTTGCTCAGCTCCTCCTCCACTCTAACGGTGCTAGGATGAGATCTAGGGGGCAAACTAATTGAGCGAACATGGTACTTATTTGCCATGATTTATATATCTCGTAATTTTCTTTTTCTTTTTCTCTTCAACAGAAGCTCAATTTTTGGATGCTCTTACGAAGTCCTTGATTCTCTCTTTATATAGGGGCTATCCCCAGTTATCCTTGCATTAGGGTAGCATATATAACCTTAATTAACGTGTGGGGCATGTGGCACACGCATCAGCTTTCCATTCCAAAATTTTCGGTTAACTTGTCACGTCTCTACCCTACATTTTTCTCAATGGTATGTGATAATAATGTGATATTATATGTAATGAAATGGTTTGAGCCTTGAGATGTATACCTGGCTTGTTCTCCGTGCATTGGTAAACGAAAATCTTAATTAGTCATCACCTCGTTTGCTCCTCTCTTGCCACATAAACTTGTAGATTTCAAATATAAAATTAGTATCATTGCATGGGTTGTCTGAATATGAAAGTGCTTGAGCTGAAAAAACAGATTATTAAAGAAAGGTTACGGTGGAGTTTTGAGATCCGCAATAATTTGATTTGAGTTTCGGATAACCTTTTTAAAATTCCAAGAACAAAGGGTCTCTGAGAGCGTATTTAGTGTAAAAGATTGTGTGCACGAGTCGCATGTATTCATTGTACACGTCCACTTTGGTTTTAACCTCGCTTTGCTTATATATTGCATTACTCGTGTGAAGAAAAATTTTCCCCTCGATTTGGTAGAGAAATGTTTAGGTACGTGAAGAAGGACGCGTATCTTGCTGGTAGGATTGACGCGCGTTCATATAATTGCGAGGTATCGTATGAAAAGATACATACTTGATAAAGGTGCCCCATTTAGGTCTCTGGCATGTGGTTGTGCTGCTACACATTCATGGACCTAATATTACAATCATGTGGCTTGTTCTCTCTACATTTGCTAAAAACTAAAACGCACTTGATTATTCCATCGGATTAATATCATAAATGCCGTAATAAGTTTGATTATTCAATTAGTTTATACTAATATTTTGAATATTTATCCATTTTGTAAAGTTTGAAACCTAAAGTTTTAAATTCGATTACTTTCCCTCAACTTCTTCCTTTTTTACTTTTCAAAGTTAGCACACTTTTGGTCACACGAATTTCTTTTGTTTTCTATTCTTATATCCCTTTGTTGTATTTTTTTATAGTATTATTTTATGTTTAATTTTTTTTTAATTGACTTGCTAATTCAACCAGTACAGTGATTCACACTTTATTGATTTAATTTTTGTTAGATTAAAGTTCAACAGGTAATAAATAATTTTTTTTATTATTTTTATGTGCTAAATAATATTTAAAGTTATTATAAAAAAGTAAATTAAGCAAAAATTACACTTAAAAAGAACGTAAATTAAAAATGGATATATTATTATTAAGTTGGGAGTTTGTATAATATTCCTTTAATTATTATGAAGATCTCATATCTTGTATCGGTATATCAGTAATAATCCGGATATAAACTACTTGATTTTATTTTTGTTTTTATTTTTTTCCTCCTTTTTTACTACTTGATCCAAAAAAAAGTAAAAATTTAAATAAAAAAAGATTAAAAAATCGCTACAAAAAATTTATTAAATAGAAAATAATTTAGAAATAAAAATTATTATAGATTAATTTAGAAAACTATTTCAAAAATTGAAGATGGTTAGTTTTGAAATTATGGGTTTTATATCGCAATTTATGACCCGATTTTCGTGACCAATAACTAATTGTTGACCAAATGTTCTAACGTCTAGACTGGTGACCTAATCGACGACGAAGGGCTCATTAATTGGATTATGAGTTCAAGTAAGCCTTTCTAACTCTTATATTAATTTTCAGGATGAATGTGTAATGTGTAATGAGAGGGTGAATTTGTTTCCTATCTTATGTGAAAAATGTTTATAAATCTATATAAGAATAGTATGTGGTATTCTATAGTTAAAACAGATAGAAAACAATAATGCATGTAATTTAATAATAATAATAATAATAATAATAATAATAATAGAAAATTATGAATCACCTTAATTATTTATTTATCTTGCAATACTGAAGTGTAGTATAGAAAATTATTAATATATGGGAAGAGTATTTATCTCTTTGGTTGAGTTTAAAAAATTAAGAATTTATTTATTTTAGATTATAACAATATGATTTACTTAAAAATATAAAAAATAAATAATTTAGTGAATTAATTCACCTAATATTTTTGTTTTAGTATTTTAATATATAAAAAATATTAAGGATAAGATAAATATTTTTATAAGTGAAATCATTTGATCACCAATTAATATATAAGTTGAATTGTAAAATTTCTTACTTATCCAAAAGTGAGACGAATTAAACTAATTCAATTTTAGTTTAAGTAATGGTAAATTAACCTATGTAAACCGAATTAACTCTCTTTTTCCTTAGGATTAATCTAGATAAATTTATTGGAAAAGAAGAAGAGTACGTGTAGTATTTAAAGGAGGTGTAAATATTATGAACCTAACCAGCTGGCCCAAACAATTAATAGGCTGATTTACAATACATGTTGTGTTTTTGGGCCTTGGTCTTTTCAATGACGATAAATAAATACTGACACAACAGTTTATCAAATTTTATTTTTTATTTCTTATACTTTAATTAATTATATCATTTTCCTTGAATGAATATGCCCTAGTAAAAACTCGTATTCGATTTTCATATCGGTTTTAATGTGTATGACAATTTGTCGAGTAAAGGAAAATTATTGCAAGATTATGAGATCAAATAGTCTCTAATCTAGTAGGTCAAACGCAACCCGTGACAAAAAATTATCATTGTTGTGAGTAATAATTTATCTTGATTATGCTCTTATATGAATTGAATGGAAGAAAAAAAAAAGGTGAAAAGAGGAAATAGGAAAAAAAAAATATTATGACAAGTGTTGTAATAAAAGAGTAATATGAAAAAAGAAATAGTAAATATACCATTAGTATTTTCTTTATGAAATTTATCGTATTTTTCGGCAAAACCAAGTTGTTCATTTAGTTTATTGCAAATAGTTGTTAGTATATAACACATGTACTTATATTCAACAAATGAAAACAATGCTGAATTGAAGTTAGAAAGTTAAGTAACTATGTGCCAAATGTTCATTACTAATTAGAGGGAAGGACTTTACATCGTGTTGATAAGGAACAGAGGATGAAAGAAAAAGGAATTGAAAGAAGGAACCAGAAAATGGAAAAATTAATAAGATAATGTAATTGAACCATTTTGGTATTCAAACATGTATTGATTTTTGGAGAGCAAATCCTTTAAAATTCGGACTATATGGTTACTCTCGTTCACATTTACAAGGTATTGATATATACTTTACTCATCATTGTGCTAATGAGCAAGCATATTAAGAAATGACACTCTATTTTGAACTATACGTCTGAAAAGGCAATCTAATCCACCTTCAAGACCATCAATGCTAACATTCAATGTCTCTAACACTCTTAGAGTACTCTGAACTTCAACCTTGGCATCACTGTGTTTTCCTCTTTCAAGGAGGGAGCACACAGCACTAAGGTCCACAACATTTGTGTTCTTCTGTTCTTTCTCTGAAGCAAACAATCTAGTTGACTTTAGCTTTGAGATCATGGAGGCCCCTTTTGTTCTGACTCCTGGCATTGACAGGAACAGCAAAAGAGAACGAAATATAGAGATAGTGATGGTGCTTGCTTCTCTTAGGACTTTGGCCAGGAATATCAAATGCTGATCTTGAGTTTGACTCATTAGAGAACAACAATTAACTTTATTCTCCATTCTCTTCATTGCCCCTAGTTGCTTGGCAATATCCTTCTTGGCCTTCTTCCTGAAGCTATTATATTCACAAATGCTGTTTTCAATGCTTGAATCTCCTCTTCTTCTACGCATGGCTGACTGAAGAGTTTGCACTTGTTCTTTTAGAGCAAATAACAAATCCCTTGCACTTCCACATGCATCAAGTAGTGTGACTGAGCCACACAATGCCTCTTCCACTAGCTTCCCATTCTGGTAGTGCAAAAGTGTTTGTTGGGTCTGAGGAGATTGGAAGAGTTCCTCCATGCAGTTGTACAACTCAGCAAGCACAACCAAATCGCTTTGAATTGTCTCTGCTTCCAAACCTGTGGTTCTTGAGACAGATTGGGGAAGATGGCGAGGCTTAAGATGGTTCAAAAGTTCTTCAACTCTTTGAGAAGAAGGGTGCACTCTTGTGGGCAAACTAATGGACCTCACTGGTTGATGAGCACTTGGCAATGTAGAAATAGCTTCCATCCTGTCCTTGTTGTGGTGCACAAAACACAAGGATGCTTGATTGGGAATTGGTATGACTTCAATCTATTTATAGGAACATGGTAGAAGTGAACCGAAACATGAAATTATAAGTGTGCTAGCCAACTATTTATGTAGTATATGTGCATGCATGTGACAACAATGTGGGTCTCCCTACCTTTCCGATTGCTTTGTAATAGTTTTGGCCAACAATTCCGTAACTAAAGTGACTTAATTTATTCCATAGAGGTAAGATGAAGTGCGTTGAAGTTTGCGAAATGAGTGGTAGTACACGAACAAAGGACACTAGACATTGCTGGTATATGTTCCCCTGCTTCCTCATTGTGATGAATCAATTCAATAATCCCATCTTCTCAACCACAATTCAATAGTATAACATATCTCTAAATGGTCATGTGTATAATTGAAGCTGTTTTCTATTTGAATTAGTTTTGCACTTTATGTCTTTCTTCAGAGTATAAGTGAGGGGTGGATTTAAATAATCCTGGGTAGCGCAAACAATGCTGTGAGTTATAGCTAAAAGCCTCCTTCATAAGCCTGGAATCTAGGCTAGCATTAAGATGTTGTTATTGGGGGACATATGGACAAGGTTCTTTCAAATTGCTATAGTTTATAATTAAGTGAGTGAATAATGGAAACCATGAGGTGTTTTGGTGGCAGTGGATTTAGTAATATGAAGAGACAAAGGGGGCAATCAACAGTGATGTTTCTTCTACCTTGGGAATTGATTTGTTAGCATAATGAAAACATTACAGCATATAAGTTCTGGTGCTTCTGTTGGGTTGGTGGATTGTGTTAGGAGTAGAGAAGGGAAAAGGGTCTTAAGGAGTTGATTAAGGAGTAAGGGGAGCAGTATTGGAATCACATGTTAATTGTATGGCTAGGAAGGTGATTCTTCTTGTCTCCTGTGTTTTTTTCTTCCTGCATGCATCTGCACCTTAAACAACATTTCATTTCAAGAGCAATGTACCTAGCAAACATATTTTCCCTTGGACAGCAGAACAGAGGCCAGAAACTTCTGACATATAAATTTACACGTCGCACATCGGATTTTCAAATAAAATATCTGCCTGCATCCATTACATTGAATTGTCCGACCAATTATTTTAACCAGAAAATTTGTTGTTTAATTGTTCAAAGTTATGTATTTCTTAGCTTCATTATCTAAAATTTAGCTTTAAGGATTTTAATTAAAAATTATCATTGGTATAAATTTTAAGATAGTTATTATAGAAGTCAATAAGTAATAGTTTGTGATTAAATAATAATATAAACCAGTTTTATTTTCTCTTTAAATAATCCTTAATTTCTGTATATTATGTATAAACAAGACTCGTGGGAAGACCCTTATGAGAAGAATCATATCTCCAAAACTAGTTGTCTTAGTTGGAGAGTCCAAAGTCTTCCAAACCTCACACTACAATACTATATTCTTAATGTGAGATTCAAGTTTCTAAGTGAACTTACCAGAAATAAGTGAAGAATAAGATAAGTTATTTTAAGTAATTGATTGCTAAAATTATAATTGAAAAATGAAATAGAAAAAACATGTACATTTTCAAGGACTGAAATAATAATTTTGTTGGTTAGTTCAGGATGCTTTCTATGATTGTCCATGTATGCAAACTTGTTCATAATCAATGTGGCCAAACAAAGGTGGCAGGTTTCATTATATTGGTAGACTCTATGACAAGATGTGTGATGCCCTAAACTTCACCTGCCATACCCATTTGGGTTAAATGCAAATCAAAATCATTTCATTGACAGCAAGCAACTTGTAATGGACTGTGAACTGTGATAAGGGTAGAAGGCATGGTCTTGTTGAATCTAGAAAGGAAACACCATTGCCATTTTCCATGTGCTGCAACTTCAGCATCAGATGCTGCCTGCTCATAACCAATTGAGACAAGTCTGGCTTCGCAAGTTGGCCCTGCAATGCATCCGGAGAGCCTTGCAAGCAAGCATTCTTCCATTTATTGCACTGCCACTGCATGTGCTTTTTGGATCTTTTATATCCTGGGTCCATAATCACTAACAATGTAGTAATAATTCATCAAATATTTCATCACTGTGACGTAATTTGTAAAATTTGCATTGATCAAGTTGGAAGGGTAGAAAAATATTGAAGGGATTGACCCTTGGAAATGATGCCATGTGATTTTAACTTCAAGCATGTGGAAGATCCTCAGACGTTACATACAGAAAAATGATGTGTCATATTATTATATTCATTCATGGCTGTATATAAGAAAAAAGAATACAACATTATTCAAGGCTGCATCATTGTCATTCAACTGAAACTCAGAAAATAAAGCATATGTGGAAGACAGAAAATATAGAGCTTTAGCTCATCAATCATTATCAGTTGAAGTAAATAAGAACAAGAAGACACTGAATTAACGCTCTAACAGAATTTATTCTGATTCCCATGTCATGAGTCAATACTCACTTTTTCAGCCGGCCATGCATTTTTTAATTCAAGCAAGTTGAAAGGGTCACCATGTTCATGAAAAAAAAATATATATAACTCTTCTTCTTGGGGTCTGGACTTGTCTAAAATAAAGAGAATATGCAATAAAGTGTAATGATAATCAATAATTAAAAAAGTTAAGATTACTATTGATTTTAGATTTTGTTGTGTATATTTTATATTATTTTAGTTCTCAACTGTGATATGTGACAGAAAAAGAAATAGAGGCTGGGCAATAAAAAGAACTATACATGAATATAAATGTTGCCATGTTCATTGTTTTATTAGCAAATGGACCATATATTCAATCTCGTTTCATCAATGGGTCATAGATGTGGGAGAGCAGAGAAGAATTAAGAAATAATGTATGCATTGTATATTTGCGTAAGTGTTATATGAAAAGGTATCAAATACAAGTTTCATCAATGGGTCATAGATGTGGGAGAGCAGAGAAGAATTAAGAAATAATGTATGCATTGTATATTTGCGTAAGTGTTATATGAAAAGGTATCAAATACAACAAAGAGAGGTAACTCTTATATACAGATTTAATAAACCACTAAAAACAGAACTGTAACAGCACTAAACTAAAAACTGAATTATAACATAATACAACATTCCTCCTTAATTCAATTTCTCAAACTAACAACATCTAGTTCAGTTCTTAACATTTCAAACCTCTCCTTCTTCAAAGATTTGGTAAAAATGTCAGTCACTTGATGTTGAGTAGGACAGTAAACCACTTTTAATATCCCATTATTCACTTGGTCTCTCAAAAAATGAAACACAGTCTCAATGTGCTTACTCTTTCCATGAGACACAAGATTATTTGCCAAATTTATGGTTGATTTATCATCAACATACAGCTGAATAGGCCTTTCAATTTGTACCCTTATTTCTGTCATGAGTGAATCAAGTCAAACTGCTTGGCATGCAGCATTTGAACCTGCTATATACTCTGCTTCACATGTGGATAAAGCAACAATAGGTTGCTTCTTACTACACCAAGAAATTGGTGCACCCATGAACTTGAACAAGTATCCTGTAGTACTCCTTCTATCATTGCTATCACCACACCAATTTGCATCAGAAAAACCCAGTAGTTTGCCTTGCATCTGATCTGACTTAGGAAATAGAATTCCAAAATCAATAGTCTCTTTAATGTACCGTAGTACCCATTTTGCAGCTAGCACATGCTTCTTCCTTGGCTGATGCATAAATCTGCTCAAAACTCCAACAGAAAATGCAATATCAGGTCTACTATTACACAGATACCTAAGTGAACCAACAATTTGCTTGTACAGTATGCTGTCAGCCTCTTCTTCATCACCTTCAATCACTGGAACCTTTGTCTCAACTGGTACTACAGCTAGATTGCAATTCTCCATGCAAAATTTCTTTAGAATTTCTGCTGCATACCTTTTCTGATATAAGATTACTCCTTTATTAACTTCAACAAACTCCATTCCAAGAAAGTATTTTAATCTTCCAAGATCAATCATCTCAAATTCAGCCATTAATAACTCCTTGAATCTACTTATTTCAGCTTGATTGCTACCCGTAAGAAGCAAATCATCAACGTATATGCACATTAACAGCATATTGGCTTCATCCAGAATTTTAACATAGACTCCATGCTCCATTGTACATTTTACAAACTGATGCTTCATCATAAACGCATCCATCAACTTGTTCCAGGCCCTTGATGCCTGTTTCAACCCATATAAAGTCTTCTTTAATCTGAAAACTTTATTTTCACTCCCTTTAACCGGAAATCCAGGAGGTTGAGTGACATATACTTCCTCTTCAAGTAGACCATTGAGAAAAGCCGATTTCACATCAAATTGAAACAAAGGCCAACCTTTTCCAGTTGCCAAAGCTACCACCAACCTTATAGTTTCAATTCTAGCTACAAGAGCAAAAACTTCTGTGTAGTCTAGACCTTCTTTCTGCAGAAATCCTCGTGCAACAAGTCTTGCTTTCCTTTTATCAATATCTCCATTTGGATGTAATTTCAACTTGAAAACCCATTTTACATCAAGTGGTTTCTTGTTCAGAGGCAATTATGTCAATGTCCAGGCTCCACTCTTCTCAATTGAATGTAATTCTTCCATCATTGCAGCCTTCCACACCTCATGCTTCATAGCTTCTTCATAATCAATAGGTTCTGCTTCTGCCAGTAACGCGAAATGAACCAAATCTCCTTCATTATTTATAGCATTATCGGGATAAACTTCAAAGTCAATCAATGCTCTTGGCATGGTTCTCTGTCTTGGTTCTCTTTGTACTTGCTGTTGTGTGAGCCTTGTTTCACCGACCTGATTGCTCTCTAACTCTTTACTTTCATCTCCAATTGTTACTGAAACAATCTGACTTTCAGCCATATTTGTTGCTTCCTTCCCGTTCCATGACTCATCTTCACTTATCACAACATCTCTAATGATACAAACTTCATTAGTAGCAGGATTGTAGAGTCTATATGCGCCTGTAGGATGATATCCTACCATTATCATTGCAGTACTTTTATCTCCCAGCTTCTTCCTCCTAACATCTGGAGTATGTTTGTAACTCACAGAACCAAAAATTTTCAGATTACTCACCACTGGTTTTCTGCCAGACCAGATTTCTTTCGGGACCTTATCTCCAAGCTTCTTGGTAGGACACTTGTTTAAAATATGCACAGCAGTAGACACTGCTTCTCCCTAGAGAGAATGAGGCAAACTTTTTTGTTTTAGTATACTCCTAGCCATATCAAGAATGGTCCTATTTCTCCTTTCAGCCAACCCATTATGTTGTGGGGTATAGGGTGTTGTCGTCTCATGTTGGATTCTCAGCCCAATACAATATTCTTTAAACTATTTGGACACATACCCACCTCCTCCATCAGTTCTCAAGATTTTCAACTCTTTTCCACACTATCTTTCTGCCATAGCTTTGAAACGTTTGAAGACTGTCAGCACGTCACTTTTGGCTTTGATAATATATAGCCAAATCATCCTACTGAATTCATCAACAAATGTTACAAAATATCTATTCTTTCCAAGTGATAGCTCTTCAAATGGACCACATACGTCTAAATATACAACATGTAGCACACTCTTGGCTCTCATATGCATATGCAAATAAAAAACATTTCTGGATTGTTTTCCAACTAAGCATTCTTCACACAATTTTCTTGGCACAATAATTTCAGGCAGACCAATCACCATATTTTTATTAGCTAATTTCTTGAGACTATGGAAATTCAATGTCCAAACCTTTGATGTCATAACCAGCTCCACTTATCAATAACTGTGGCTGCTAGACAGTGTTGTTCAACAGGATCTAGCCTTGTTTGAAATGTCCTATTCTTAGACAGTGGTGATTGCAACACCAATACTTCCTTGCATCATAAACTCTCAACATTTCTCCCTGCATTGTGACAGTGAAACACTTCTCAACAAGTTGTTCAACACTTAACAAGTTACATTTCATTCCAAGAACATATAACACACTCGGAGAGTGTTGCGGAATATTTTAACAGAGTCTAGCTCTTGGTTAATTCGATGAGAGCATGTGGAGCAGCTGTGACAGAACAGTGTATGGTTGAAAAAATATTATGTACTCTCTCAATAAAGTTCGACTATATTGTAGTGGCTATAGAGGAGTCAAAAGATACAAAGGAGATGACAGTGGAGGACCTGTAGGGATAGCTATAAGCTCATGAATTGAAACTTATGGCAAAAAATATTGTAAAGATAGAAGAAGAATAAGCGTTAGCTGCTATAAAAAAAGGAGTTTTTTTGCGTGGAAGATGAAAGAAAAATAGAAATGGTGTTCGTTTTGATAAAGAAGGTGGTTCTTTAAATCAAGAAACAAACACAGGAGGTTCTGGGGAACGTACCGAACAAATGAGAACTGCCAGAGGTAGTTTTGGTAGAGGAAGAGGAGGAAGAAAGAATCAAGATTTGAGAAAGATTCAATGCTACAACTGTGAGAAGTGGGGGCACTATGCTGCTGATTGTTGGTTTGTAAAAGGCAAACAGAAAAAAGAGGTTGAGGCTGAAGCAAACGTGGCACAGGATGAAGCCAATGAAGAACCTATTGTATTGATGGTTACTGCCAGTGAAGAAGGTTTCATAACAGGTAATTAGTTCTTGGATACGGGTTGTTCCAACCATATGACAAGTCATAGAAATTTGATTTCAAATTTGGATACAAGTAAAATCAGTAAAGTGAGGCTTGCAGATAACAATGTTATTGAGGCAGTAGGGATTGGTGATATCGTGATAAAGAAGAATGGGAAAGAAGTGATTATAATAGAGTGTGTTACATGTTCCTGGAATGAAATGTAACTTGTTAAGTGTTGGACAACTTGTTGAGAAGGGTTTCACTGTCACAATGCAGGGAGAAATACTATATGCACACAACGTGTTTGTATATTTGTGCAAGTGTTATATGAAAAGATATCAAATACCTTATATATAGATTTAACCATCAAAAACAGAGTTGTAACAGTACTAAACTAGAAATTGAATTATAACATAATACAACAATAGAATGAAGGAGGCACCCCCGTTCGTCCATCGTGTTTGGAATTGTGAGCAAGTGATTCAAAGCTCAGAATAATTCATGGTGCCCCCATTCTCAATTCTTCTCAAACATCACCTCCATGTGAAACTGGTGCCTGCCCATTTCTTCCAATACAACATCTTTCAACGAGTTCCCTTTTTCTTTAAGAGTTTTAATTATTAGGCAACAACAATTATTGTACACTTTTTATCTTTTATTTTTCAAAATGTATACATTGTTTAAAAAAACTCTTCATAGTTCTTCGCAGCCATTTGTCTGCCCCGTGACTTGCATGTGATCTTATTGAGACCAATTCATCATAATTTTTAATACTCCTCAAACCCTACGTATATATTTTTTTTTCCTTTAACGGTTTTATATTCATTGTTGTATATGTTAAATCAGTTCTGGAGCCTTTATTTTATGTTAGTTTTTTTATCAGTGAAAGGGATGCTCATAATTTATTTTATGTTAGTTTAGTGGCCTTGTCTATTATAATGGTATTTATCGAGGTTATTTTTTCATTATTTTGTCCGTATTTCATATTAATTTAAAATGTCAATATATTATCTTTAATATAAATAAGTTTTGAAAAGTTCATTCAAAAAAAAAATTTAGATTAATTTTTCTGAAAGTTTTATTAAAAGCTTTCAAAAAAATTCTTGAAAAACGTTTAGAAAATTCAGAATGTTTCTAAAAATTTCTAAATTAACCTTTAAGAAGTTTTTTAAAATGTTTTCAAAAGGATTCTAGAAAGTCAATCTAAAAAACTTTTTGAAAATTGATTCAGAATGAATCTAAATTTTTTTAAATGAACTTTCTAAAAATTTTATGAATTGGCCTTTCTAAAAATGTTCCAAAATATGCATTGTGCTTCCATCACATGTTCTTCTCGTTCTCTTCCAATATCTTTTCTGTCACTTTCCTTCATATCTCTGCACTACATGTTCAACCACTTCTGTCAATAGAATAATCAAATCAAAAGCATGTACTCCATCAATCTTGTGCATGCATATCAATGATCAACAATTGTAAGTGTTGAGAACATGGATATTACACTACATTGATCATTGATAATGGATAATTGGCATAGAGAGAATGCACATGATAATGTGTTTTGTTTTTGGAAGAGAATTAAATCTGAGGTAGGAAGAGATGTGATCGTGGGAGGAGTTTGATTAGCACGTAGTTTGGAAACAAATGGGGAAGGAGAATGTATGAGCATAAAGGAGGCGTGTAAATAGTATTGGCCTTATTTTAAAAGATTTAAAAACACTTCTCTTTAATGTGGCTTAATCCGTAAAAGCCCAAAAGTAGCCTCTTACACCTTTAAAATTCGTTCCGATCTAAAATACAAACTCAACTTCAATCATTTTCAGGGTCCAGAAGTTTGTAGGCCCAGATACACTTATGGGCCACAAAGGATTGAGGGATGTAAAAAACTTGTGCATGCTTCTCATCTTAATGGGCTACTTGATTTTGGACTCATCTAATAATAATAATTTTGTACATTACTTCGCATCATAATGGGCCACTTAATTTTTTCTATTTATTTTTATATCATTTACCTAACACTACCACATACAAGATTAGTATTTGAGTTAGGAGAAAAATAATTTAAAATAATTCATTCATTTAATTATTTTAATTTAGTTTTGAGTTAATTAGTTTCATACTAATACAATAATTTCTTAGGTTTTTTTAATAGATTTTGTTTTGTCTAAAATTCTGAAAATTGAGTATATTAAGAATTTGTTGTCTTATAAGCAGTAAAATTGTGAACTTGTATTGTTTAAGTATTTTAGAAAGGTTTGTCAAAGATTATGAAAAAAACTTTCAACGAAATACAATTCAATGTCGGTTCTTTTGGATCTATATGTTTTATATATTTGTTACTTTATTAAATATATTTAATTAACATATAATATATTTTTAAAATAAAATATAAAAATATAATTATATAGCTTCTTCTATAAATTAAATTTGCGAGTTTAATTATTTTATGAATATAATTATTCTGTATTCATATATTTTATACATTTGATTTTGATACTTTATTAAATAAATTTAATTTAACGTATAATATATTTTTTAATATATACGTAAATATCAACTATATAATTATGTAACTATAAGAATATAATTTATCAAAAAATCCCTAAATAAAATTTAAATAATTTTATATGTAATTAGTGTTTTAAAAATAATTTTAAAATTTCTTTACTATTTTTAATTAGATTATAAGTTATATGCTAAAGCTTTAACGCTTTATATAAATTTTAATTTTAAAAATCTAATGTTATAATAAACTTATATTTTATCATTTCATAAAATAATTATATTATGAGAATTAAAATACGGTACTAATATTATTGCTCTGTTCAAATTATACCATAAATAAGACATGAATGCCAAAATCTCCGAATATAATTTATTTACAATGTAAATATATTTTTAATCATTAAACATTTGATATTAATCCAGTTTTAATATTTGAAATTTATTGTTAGAATCTCAAAACATTTTAAAAACTGAAGTCGTTTTCAAAATATATCAATTATATTCTGAATGTAAATATCTTTTTTCAAGATATAAGTGTTTTAAAAAATTGGACAAAATTACTAGAAATAATAAGAACACGTGAGAAGTACTATCACGAATCCCTAAGTCACCGACGTGGCGTTTGCATAGCTGCGAGTACAGTGAAGGGCTTGTTGCATAGGATTCCAGTAGAAGCTACCTTCATTCTCAGTGTGTTCCCTCTATAACGGCTACATTTTCCCACAAAGTCTTACTCATACATTTCTACGCTCCATTCCCGGAGAAACGACAAAGTAATTCCCTTTTTTCAACTTTTTTTTTTTAATTATTATTTTCTTTCTTCTTCAGAAGACCGTTACCCTTCTTCTCTTCTTCTCTTCTCCCCTTAAACCCCGACCCATCACACTCTTTTCACTCCGCCACTTCGCCATGACGGTCGCAACCGCAGCCTCCGCACGGACCAAGAGGATCTTCAAACTCACGCTCTCCCTCCTCCGCCTCGGCTTCAACTCCTCCAAATGGTACTGCATTACCTTCTTCTTTTCTCTCTTGTTCTCGCTGTTGTGCCAACCACGCATATATAACCGAAACGACTTCGTTTGTTTTCTGCGGTGCAGCAAAACGGCAGCGAAAATGGCGGTGGCGAGGATCAAGCTGCTTCGGAACAAGAGAGAGGTGGTCGTGAGGCAGATGCGGCGAGACATTGCTGTTCTTCTTCAGTCTGGTCAAGATGCCACGGCTCGTATCAGGGTAACAAAAAACCGTAGAATGTGTTTAGTGAAAATAATTTTTTTTTTGTTGTATTTTATATTAACAATGCAAAAATGAGTATTCTTCTTATTCTCAATTTGTTCTCTACTACACCCACAAAAAAAAAAAAAACTTATCAAATCGGTTTTTGTCTTTGTAAAAGTTTATCTTTTTGGATTCCTTTATGCATTCTTAATTTGGTCTTTACAGTTTGCTAATTTCGGACCAAATTAATAATTCCCTACATCAAATTGAAAATGTACTACGACCAAGTTAAGAATGCCCTTGGTTGGGTTTCGTGGTTAGAAGCACCTGGTAACATTTTACGTGTAAAAACCAATTTAATAAGTTGGTACCAAATTTAGAATTTGTTATAGGTGTGGAAACTAAATTATATGTTTAATATCTTGTATCATTTACAGTTTTTGTTTCTGAAGATTCGTTTAGAGTTTTCAGCGGCACTGAAAATAGCCATGCTGTCAGATGTTTATGTTAGTTGGAACTGAGCACAGAGCTTTTGCAGTTTGGTTTAGTGATAGCTTTTGATTGAGTATATGTGCGTATTTGATTAGTGATGCTAACTCCTTGCACCCTCTAGGTTTCCCCATCCCGGTTGTCTTTAGTTCAAATTTTTCTATCCCCCTCTGTTTTTGTTTGTTTTCTTGGACCCGACCATATTTTTATTCGTATCTTTCTGGCATCGAAGCTGTAGTTTCTTTGCTTGCCGAACCTTCTTATTCTGTTGTTCTGTTCTGCCTCAGTTCTCTCCTGAAATTTGCTATCTCCTTCTTCAATAACGTCAAGTATGTGCTTCTTCTCCATACTTGCTGAACCCTTAGCAGCTCTTGAATCCTTAAAGTATGAGCTTTGATACTAGTTGATAGAAACTATTTTGGGTAAATCCCAATTACAAGTCAAGAACATTGCAGTTCTTCGAGAGTCAAGCCTCCCAATGCCCAAAAGCCCAAAACTCCAATCCATTTTATTTTTATACAAGTGATATCATGTCTAACTATATAAAGCTTATGCTATATAACAAGATGAGGCCAGCTGTAACTTTCTAATACTTGCCAAAAATCTTCTTAAACGACAACTTCTCGGTTATAAAGAACTAAGTGAATCTAGTGTTTAGACATTAATTGTCAACTTTGACTTATTATTTTTTAATGCTTCAAAATGACTAAGGTTATCGGTGCTGATCCCTTTAGTTGCTTCAGGCAATACAAATAAAGGATTAGGATAGGCAGTTGATAGTATCTTTTGATCGTCGCAATATCCAAGTTTTTTCCGAAATTCTTTCCCATTTTTTATGTATCATCTTTTGTCTCAAGGCTTGAGACATCCCGAGAACATTTCTATATTAAAAAAGACCAAGCCACTAGTTTAATCGGAATTCCTAGCTTCTAATAAGCTTTTCATCATGATATCCTTTTCTAGCCATAAAGCTTACAAACTAAAAGTAACTTGCTACATAAACCTAATAGTTCTATCTAACAGTATCAAGATGAGACCACATGTAATTTTCTAATATTTCCCAAAAATTATTCTTAAATTATGATTTTCCCTGTTAAAGAAAGAGAATTTAGTATGACTTTGTATCTAATGTAAATAATGTAGAGAATTAGTCCAATGATATACTTTAATTATAAATGCTCACCTTTTGAGTAGATATGACATTTGAAAGTTACCTTGAGGGAGAGTGGTGGCATCGCGATTTGTTGAAGGCCGTTTTCTTTTATAATTGAGATGACTATATTCTGATTTTTTACTTAAGGATCTTTGTGGCTTATTGTAGGTTGAGCATGTCATGAGAGAGCAAAATGTTTTGGCTGCAAATGAGTTCATTGAGCTCTTCTGTGAACTAATTGTGACCAGACTCTCAATCATTGCAAAGCAAAGGTGCGGTGGAACTGCTTATTTTATTAATGAAGTATAGACTTGAAATTCTGATGCTAATCGTACTTGATCCAGGGAATGTCCAGCAGATTTGAAAGAAGGAATCGCTAGCTTGATATTTGCAGCCCCTAGGTGCTCTGAAATTCCAGAACTCGTGTCACTTAAGAATATCTTTGAGAAGAAATATGGGAAAGATTTTGTCTCTGCAGCTGTTGATCTTAGGCCTAGCTGCGGCGTAAATCGTCAGGTAAGCCCTTTGCTGACAGCAATTTTGCTTGTATTTACAGGGTTTTGGATTTCTATGCGTGCTTGTATTAAACTATTTTCTATTAATCCTCATAAGTATTCATACAAGTGTTGTTGTGAATGGCAATGGATTTTTAGTTGATAGAAAAACTCTCAGTACGAACGCCTCCTGGTGAAGTAAAATTGAAAGTGTTGAAGGAAATAGCTAAGGAGCATCAAATTGATTGGGATACTACAGAATCTGAGAAAGAACTTCTTAAGCCTCCAGACGAGCCAATAGTACGTATTGTGTCTTCATCTTCCTTACTTTCTTGTTCTTTTGTAACAATTCGATTAATGATTTGGCTCTTTCTCTCTCACCAGGAAGGGCCACGCACTTTTGTCAGTGCAAGCAGCGTACCAGTGAAACCTTCTACAAATGTGTCAGTGGAATCAAATAAACCTACGAGGTCATATATTTATAGTCTACCCTATTAGATTGTGCATTTTTATCGTAATTTTCTTACTCTAATTGAGTTTTTGGGTGATTTCTTCAGATTATCTGGTGGTGGAAAAACCGATGCCGTGCATTATGAAGATGCTAAGTCCGCAGCTGAAGCAGCAGCTGAAGCAGCTAAGAAGGCAATTGCTGCTGCTGAAGTTGCTGCTTATATGGCTAAGAAGGAATTTAATGAAGCTCCTCAACCATATGTTTACAATGGTAAGTTGTACAACTCAGAAGTCAACTCTGGGACCTTCCAAGCAAAAAATCCTTCAACTGAGGGAAAAATGTATAGATCACACAGCTTACCAAGATCTGATCAAATGAAAAGTGAGGATTCAATGCACAACCAATATGGTGGAAATGATTATAGGAGGTACAGCTACCATCCAACTTCTGCACATTCAGATATTAAGTTTGATGAATCAGATTGTGATGAAGAGATTGAAGCAGAAGTACCTCCTGCTACTTTACCCCCTAATCGGCTTCCACCACCTGCACCTTCATCTCTGAGTAAACAGGATAGCCACATTCATCGTGTTCATCCCAAATTGCCAGATTATGATGAACTTGCTGCACGCTTTGATGCACTAAAATTCAAGAAGTCACAATCCTGAACCCAACCTTAAGCAACCAAACGTTTATGAATACTCTATTTAATTAATTTATATTTATATACAACACATGTAAGAATGATATATTTTGTTATATTATAGAGATACCAAGAATGTACTGGACTCTAATATTTTGTTATGTACTGCACAACTTCAGCATGTTATATATTTGTTTCTGGGTACGTCCAGCTCGATATTTAGATTTTCTTTTTTAGAAAATTGTTTATGTTTTTTCACACGAGCATATCTAATGATTGTTTCTTATAAAAATTCATCTTGGATTCTTAAGTATAACTTACGTTATTATATCATATTTAAGTAATTTTTTTAAAATTTTTAAAAATTCATTTTAACGATGGGTTCTTATAAGTAATTCACAATTCAACTATTACTTTTGACTTTAATGATGTCAGTAATAATTATAATATATAATTATTTAAATAAAATAAATAATATATTTAAATTAAAAATAAATTTGACATTGGAAATACGATTAATATTAATTAAAATACAAAATATTGGGAACTGCAGTGAGTATTCCTCTCTTATTTGTTGCATTTTCTGATTTGTTGAATTCTGTTAGTGAGAACCATAGGGCCAAACTAAAAAAATTTGGGAAAAACAATTCTTAGAACCGTTGCTTCTACGAGATGCGGTGCTTAACTTTTCAAAATTCTTGCTACTACGTCGAATTGCTTCAATGCCAATTTCTTATAAGCACAATTACTTATAAAGTAACTAGGGCCATAAGCAACTCTCGTTGGAGTTACTCTAAGATTCTTTTCTAATTATTTGGTATATTAATTATTTTATTTTCTAAAATGGGGGAGAGATTGTATCTATAATTATTATCTTTCTTAAAACTTAATTAATTGGGCGATAATTGAGTGAAAAAGTTGGATATTCATTCCATGGATAACCATGACTTAATGAATTGAATTGGGTTTTAGTAATGATTGTGTCAAATATGAGTCAATTTAATATAAATTTACTGAAAAAATTATTAAATAATAATAATATATTTATTATTTAATTTAATTTATTATTAAATTAATAAAAAAAATATTTTTAAAATATTAAAATATAAAATAGTATAATTATTTTAAAAATTATAAAAATGTGATTAAAAATTATTTTTAAAAATCTATGACCCAATTTATCTATCGCAATTGAAATTGATTAGGTCTAATAAAAAATATATAAAAACCTAATCTAATTTAATTTTAAGAAATTTTTATTAAATTAGATTATGTATTTAAGTAAATTTGACTCAATCCAACATATCTCTTAGAAAGAAAAAAATTGTTTAAATGATATTTAGAATAATTTTAAATAATATTGTAAATTATTAACAAAATTTTTTATTTTATGTGAAGGTCTCTTTTAGTATAATTGAGTTTTCTATTTATTTTGCTTTTAAAATATAACTTTGAATACCACTTTAAAAACAAATTTACCTCAACTTAGAAAAGGATTCTTTTTTTCTGATTGATGATATAAGTTTATGAATTTTTTTCCACAATAAACCCATATGGATTTTTGTTATTTTTTTATTTTTTAAAAAGGAAGCCCTTGATTACTGAACGTGACATTTTTTTTACATGTAAGAGAACCGAATTCAGAACCTTCGTTTTCGAGTTTTTTTTTTTTCACTTTTGAATAGTTTATAAAAAAATAAAATTATATTCCTAAGATACAATCAATTTAATGTAATTATGTCAAACAAAAATATATATGTATAATTTCACTAAACTGTAAAATATTTCATATTTTACTATTGTAATAGTTAACATTGAACTAATAAAAAAATAAATTAACTATTACATCACATTGTACAAAATTGAATATAAAAAATTAATAAGTCATCAAATAAAATATTTAGATTTCTATTCGTTTATCAACTCCTTTATAAAAAACAATCACTTCCCGACAAAGACTTTGAGGATGAAGTACTCATCTACATACATATTTTTCTTGAAAATTTCAAAGTTTGTCTTGTACAATGTAAGAAATGTACTTGTATTATTAAAAATTTGGACAACATTAGTAATATCAATTTAATGTAATAAGGATGTGTAATCACATCATCCCACAATTTCATATATTTTAAAACAAACAATTCCATATATTTTAAAACAAATAATCCACAATCATAATTGTACAATTGAATGTAGTTATTATACACGTTATATACAATATTTTACAACATATTTTGGTAGTATAAGAAGATACTAATAGGTTTGATTGAATTAGCAAGTTCTTATTTGTAATTTTAAGTTGTCCAGTAGTATTGGATGACATTTTTTTTTTGTCAAACTGTTACATCTGCTCACAATATTACATTTTTCTTAAGTTAAACGTATTCCAACAAATATTTACCATAACTCGATCAATTATTTTGCGTGATCTATTATCATGTCCAATGAATCCAAGATAAACATTTCTTTATCCTTACATTTTAGCACATAACACTACTAATGATCATTGTGTACCATTGGAGTAAAACTCTAGAACATAAAAAAAAATATATTCATGATATTTCAATACTAATAAAAACCTCTTGTTAATCTAATTTTAACTTTATAAAATTAAAATTTAAGGAAAACTATGAATACTCACAAATTCACAAGTCAATAACTCTTGCATTAGAATAATTGTTTTTGGATAAAAAAGTGACTATTCTTTCATTGTCCAAGTGAGGGATTTACCTTTGCAAAAATTCATTCGTTGAATAACATGTGTCTATGTAAAGCCACACAATAAAATGACAATCAGTCATAATATACCCAGAAAAATGTCCAATGTAACTTTTTAAATACATAAACATATCACAAATAAATGATTGAAACAAAAATGTTCTATGTTGTCACCAATGACATTAAGTTGTTAGTACATCACGACACTAGTTACAAAAAACATAACCTAACAAAAGATACCATATTAATAAATATATTTTATTAAAATGTATTTACAATTTTATCACATAAAACACTTATCGTATTGCCTAATTTTCCCCTAGACTTTAACATCTCCAAGTTCTGGAAGGTTAATATCTGGTCATGCACCTCTAGTAGAACACTAAAATAAAACAATGAGTTACATTGCTAATTATATTAAAAAAATTGAATGAACACTACTAGAAAAATGTCAAATAGTAACCGAAATCGATGATCGAAATATTTAGTTACTATCAGTTGACCGAATCAAGTAACCAAATTTTTATTTTTTAGTCTAGTAACCGAAATAGTAACCGAATTTTCTGGTCACATAAAATCGATTACTATTTCAAGTCACTTTATTATTTAATTTATTTTTTTAATTAATCTATATTTAATTTATGTAATTATTAATTTTTTTTATATTTATTAACCGATTTAGTGACTAAAATTTCAATCACTAAAAAAATAATTTTTACACTCGATAACTATTTTTCATTTATATAAATATTTTATTTAAAATATTTTAAATATAAATTTACTTAATAATTTAAAATAATTGATAACATTTTTAATAACATTATAAATATTTTAAAAAAATTGTTTACTAACTTATTAAATAATTTAGTAATATAATTATTTGATTTTATTTTTTTATTTAGCATGTGAATAAAAAAATTAAAATTGATTATTAAATTAGTCACCGAATCGATCATCGATTCGGTCACCTGAATCGGTCACTAATTCGATCATCGAATCGATCATCGAATCGATCATCGAATCGGTCACTAAATCAATAATTAAATTAATTATTAATTTAGTCTCTTTATATATATATATATATATTACTTGTATGTTAATAAAAATGTATTTCAATGTATTTATAAAAAATTAAAATTATTTTAATTACTGAATTGATATTTTAAATTTATATTAATATCTTGAATAATTTAATAGTTGGATATATATATATATATATATATATATATATATATATATATCACTTTAATTTTTTTAATTAAAATTAATTTCATAAAAAATTAATATTTGAAAATTAAAATGCAAAAAAAATATATATATATATATAAATTTATTTATTTTTTAAAGATGATATATTCAATGTATGTTAAAAAAGTTCAAGCCAAACTGTTTTTATAGAAGATTTTCAAAACTCGCTGGTTTAATTAATCTGTTAAAAGATTCTTTTAATTCGTTAAAAGTGCAGCTTTAATCTGTTAAAACTTCTTTTAATCCACTAATACGTTCTTGATTCTTTAATAGATTTGTTTTAACTGATACTGACAACGTTTATATCAATTAAAACACTTTACAAAAAATCTTCTAAGTTGATTTAATCGATTGTTTCGCGATTCAATCGATTGAAATATCGCAAAACTTTCTCCTAAAACTTTTCAAGTTATTTTAACTGATAAAAATAAGTTTTAATCGATTAAAACGCTGTGCAGAATCTGTTTTAATCGATTGAAACGAGATTTAATCGATTAAAATAGTTATGATCGGTCATAAATGCATTCTGACCGATCATAATCGAAACCATATAATAGCTGGTTCAAGGGTTAACCGCTATCTAAGTCATTTTTTAAGAGCGGCTCATGTGGAACCGCTATCTAAAATGTATTTCGCTTGAGCGACAACATTCTCGCTCGAGCGAAACGTCCCCCGCACAAAATTAGTACACTCGGGTTGTATTTCGCTGAGCGAGTCTATCTCGCTCGAGCGATAGTTGATTCTGATCGATTATATTTTCGAAATGATCGATCATATTTGATAATTTTTTCAAATAATTAATTATAATCGATTAGTTTTCTAAATTATTGATTAGAATTGATTAGTTTTTCAAATAATAGATTAGAATTGATTAATTTCTGAAATATATACTAAAAAAATATAATTAAAACTATAAATTAGTTAAGAATATTGACTATTGTAAAGATAAAGTAGAAACATGGGAGGAGATGAGGATGATAATATAATGATAGAACTTACAAAAATGTAGAATTGAGAAGTTTGAAACAAATAAAAATAAGAAAATAGATATTTAATTAC